ATTTTGGCTATATATCGATTATAATCATAATCGATAGAACCCCGCAGGGGTGATTGGCATTGATATATATCCTCCTGTTTAATAATCGATATATATCCCCTTATAAAATTTCCTGATGAAGTGCCTTGCTAAACACTTTGGTCCTGTTTAGTTTTTGCTGGTTCTTCTGATAATAATTCTTTACATAGTACTGTTGAAGATCTGTACTACCTCTCTATTCAGGACTTGCCAAGTGAGTGCCCTATCATCGTATTGACCCTGTAGCTTTCTGTGATCTAAAAACCTATTTATATAACTCATATATCATACAAATATCCCGAGATCTTCCAGTTTAATGAATTGGTATGACCGCAGTTACAGAGTCTCAAGTTTTCCTAGCTATAACAATAGTTACTGAATCTGTTTTTCGAAATTTAATTTTTATTTACAGTGAGAATTGAACTTGTACTTAACTGTTTGGAGATGCAATAACTTCACCACTTTACTAAGTCACCACATCCTGTTTAACATTAATTAATTAATATATAATTTGGTAACTAAATTTTGATTTTGGCTTGGATTTGGTGACCAATTATCAGCTTAATTCTACAAATATGCTATAATAAAAGTAACTTATATTTTATTCTGAAGTCTTCATATTTTATGTTTGTTAATTGTCTATCATCATAAACTGGCATTTGATAAACTTTGAAACTCTAAAAGAGGATAAATAAATAAGTTAAAAGTATAGTTAATAATAAATGATAAAATAAAAAGAGATATTTATTGATAAATCATATTGCAGAATTTTAAAGATATAGATCACTTGTGACATCTTTGTCTAACAATGAATTAATTTTATAATAGATTAATTTTATATAAGCATATCATTAAAGTAGAAATTACTACATCTAATCTATATTTATTATTCTATTTTTGCTATATATTATCAAAGATATATAGTTGTGTTATCTGTTAATATAATATTTAAAATGAGTATAATATTTGCTATCTGCTATTTTCTTCCTTATAAAAAAAGTGTTAATCTGTATTTTATATTTCATATTTATAAATTTATATACAAATTACTTGGCCAAATAACTTTTTATAGTACTTTTAATATTTCAAGCTAATTTTTCTCTTCTTCAACCTCCTCTTCCTCTTTATCGATCTCATTTATCTCTTTATCAACCTCATTTATCTCTTTATCATTATTCACCTCTTCATTGACCTCACTTATCTCTTCTATGATTTTAGTTTCATTAGCTAACATCTATTTTGGTATATTTATTGATGGTTTTTCTCTGATACAAACTCTATTCTATACTTTCTTACCCAAATTTTTTTAATCTTAGTTGTTTTATTATGAATCTTGTCCATATAATCTCTTAGCATCTCTTTCAACTTAAAAATAAAATCATTTAAATTAATCTCTATATATGCAAGTTTTATAAGTGTATGTTTTTTATAATTTTATTATATATCTTAGTACTATTTATTAAAAACACTTATAGATCTATTAATTCTAAATATATACTTTTACAAATACATACTTATAGTCAGTAAAAGATGTATATTATATGTATTCATCAAAAAAAAAAGATACATAGATATTTACTATGTGTATTATAAATTTAACTTAGGGCAGTATCATTTATTACCTGATTTTTTTTTATTAGAGGCTTACCTCCTCCCCCTCTTACTATATATCTTGATCAGGTTTTTATATATAATTTTAAATTTTTTACCTCTCTTCCCCCCTAAAAAATCATCTGATTTTTGTTATGTCTCTTACAGTTTGTGATCTCTACTTTAGATCTTTAATTACGATATTTCTTTCTGTTGATTCAACATTCATTTTTGAAAGCTCTGGAGAATGGTAACGATTACTATTCTGTATCATTTTTAATAGGCAATCTACGAGTCATCTAAACAAAAATTTTTTTTTTTTATATGTAAATTTTACTATAAGCCCGAATGTGCAGCACTTCTATCTAAACCTTTTTTTTTACTAAGTAAATCACTCTTGGGCTTGTAACAAAAGTTGTAAAGCTCATCAAGATGCATCAAATGCAGACCAATTTTAACGTTCTTACTACCATTAGATGCATCTTGATGAGCTTTACAACTTTTGTTACAAGCCCAAGAGCGATTTACTTAGTAAAAAAAAAGTTTTAGATAGAAGCGCTGCACATTCGAGCTTATAGTAAAATTTATATATAAAAAAAAAATTTTTGTTTAGGTGACTCGTGGATTGCCTATTAAGTCTTCTTGTTTTACTTTTCTTATTAGCTTATCATTTACTTCTATTAAATGATCAATCATTCTTGCTCTTCATTTTTTTTCTATTATTAAAAAAAGTCTTAATACTGTAAATAGTTAAATTAACAATATGGTTGTTGTATAGCTATACAACAACCCAAATGATATTTTACTTACTACAAATCTATGAGTATTTTTATATCATCATTTTTTATCAATTTCTACTTCTTCAGATGGTTTTTGGTTTAGAATAAATTTCTCTCTTTGGTGTTGGTGGCATTGATGTAATATCTTGTAAATTACACTATTGACAACTAGAAATATTTTTTTATTCAAGACCTTTGTAATTAGTAAAATTATTGTTTTGTTAACTAAATCTATTTGTTCATCAAAGGTCTTATGAAGCTTTAATCGCTGATCAAGTTGTAATTTTGACATGATTAAAGTAATTTCTCTTTAAAATAAATTTAGTATTTTGTTTACATGTTAGTATATTAACCATAGAATTTTAATATTAAAAATTAAATTATTTGATATAAAAAAAATAAAACTATTAGAACTTGATTATTCAGGGTAACAAATCCCAAAGGTCAGATGTGTCACTACCACAATATTAATATTCATAATTCTTACTAACCAAATAGCTTTTCAGTTCAATTACGAAAGTTAAAAAAATAAAAATAAAAAAAATAAAGAGTAAAAAAATAAAAAATAAAAAACTAATCTACCAAAACTTGATTTTCTAAAGGATAGATATACTACTGCTGCAGTATCTAATATTCATAATCCTCACTAACCAAATAGCTTTTTAGCAGTAGCACACATTTAATCATGAAAGTTAAAAATAAAAATAAAAATAAAAATAAAAAAATATATAAAAAAATAATAAAAATAATAATAATAACAAATCTACTAAAATTTGATTATCCAGAGTGGATCCCAAAGGTCAAGTGTATTATTGCTACAGTATCTGATATTCATAATCCTCATTAACCAAATAGTCCTTCAACAATAGCACATTTGAACTTTGGGATTCACTCTGATAATTATTGGAAACTTTCTAAAGTTAAATATTAAAGTTCTTAGAAATTAATTTTTAAGTAAATATACTTATATGTAAAGCCTTTAAAAGTTTATATAGTATTTTTTTAATAGATATATATTTTTTTGATTTTAGTATTTCTTCTTCAGTTTCTTCTTCTGATATTTCTTCTTCTTCAGATGTTTCTTTATTCTCTTCTAAAATATTTTGCCATCGTTTAATCATTTTTTCATAGTCAAACTATTTAAACTATTTTTAATATGCTCTTTTCTTTTGTGTACTTTTTGTTTTGGTAAAGCTGGTCTTTTACTATATATTATATATTAATTAATTAATATAATAATTAATGTAATAAAATAAATAATTATATAGACAAGGTCTGCAAAAAGAGACGAAATTGCCAATTTTTTAAAAAAAATTTCTTTATATAATCAATTTATAATAAAGATTAGAATCATTTTTTACTTAATAAAATTTTGTAGTATAGCTCTTTAAAGTTTGCATTTTCTTATAGTTTATTATAAGATTTATAATATAAAAATTAATTTTTTGAAGATCTTTTTTTTGTCAATTTCACAGCATCTAGCTTATTAACTTACTTAAATTTTCTTTTTTTATTTTTTTTTCTGTTGCCCTTGCTTCTATACTTTCTTTTTTTTATATTTTTTATTTTTTTTTTTCATCTTCACTACTTTCATTTTTGCTACTTTTATTTCTGCTTTCATAATCACTTCCTGTTTTATTTTATAATTTTCGAGTCTTAGAAGATTGAGTTTTAGGTTTTTGAGTTTTAAAAGAATTTTGTATTTTAAGTTTTTGTTGTTTAGAAAGTTTTTGAATTTTAAAGGATTTTTGAGTTTTAAAAGTTTTTTTAATCATTTCTAAGGCAAAAAAAAAATAAAAAAAATAATCAAACTTCAATTTAAATTATAAATTGGTGAAATACGATTCTTTTTATATTTTAATCTTAGAAGAAAGAATGATATAAATTCTTTCAATTGATTACTATTTTCTTGATCTATTAGAAGATTGGATTATTGTATTTTGTTTAGAAAACAAAAACCTGATTGTATAAAATAATATGCATAATTTAGAGAGACAATAAACTAAGAACTTAATATAATCTTCGGGCTAGTTAATAATTAATAATTTTGATCATTGTTCAGAAACCCCAGACATTGATAGCAAAAATAGTTAGTGAAATTGGCAAATTTAACAAAATAGCTTATTATAAAATTTATATTTGTAAGTATAAATTTTAATGTAATCATATTTTTCTTCTGCAAGTTCTTCATCTATCATTTTAGTGAGTTCTTCGATCATTATCTAAAATATGTATATAATTACTCATTTATATAAATCAGTTCAAAAACAAAGATAAAATTACATATTTAGAACAAAAGTAGCAAATTTCGCATCTTAGCGCAAGACAATTGTTGCTAGCTATTTTGCTAAAAAATAGTTTGCTACAAAAATCTGAGGACTCTGGAACATATATATAGTAAATTTGATTGAAATTTTTTTTAATAGAAATTATTAGCCTGACCTTGCTTATCTTTTATGTTTGTTCATTTCTTTTTAGAATTTTTTGATTTCTAATTTTAATTTCACCTAGCATTAACTCTCTGGCCAAAATTATGTATGTATATCTTCAAAAATTTTTTACTAAGAGAGGGTAATATAAACTACCAAACCAAATTGGTCTGGCCTTATTAATATAAATTATTAATTATTAATAATTCGAGAGATTCAATTGTTATTGATATACTGTACGTTTGTTTATTAAGCATAAATTTTAATATAGTTATATAATATAATTGCATTAAAATTTATGCTTAATTAAAATATATATTAGTATATTTATAAGCTATTTTGATAACTATCTTCCTTCTAGGCTTTCAGAATAATTACCAAAAACCAGATCATATATGAATGTTGTTCTAATGAGAAGATCATATGGCTTATAGGTGCTTTTAAGCAAAAATTTGGTTCTTCTAAGCAGATATTGTAGTGGATCAGATATATGCACATTTATATAATTGTTTTTCTGCATATTATAATTGTTCTTTAATTCATAAGACAAACTATGAAACACTCATGAATAATCTATAGAATACACTACTAACAATAATTAGACAATGGATATCTTCTTAAGAGAAGGACTGAATTTTTTGTTTAGAAGTGCCTATTGTTATTAAATAAATGAATCACACAAAGCAATATATTCTCTTGTATAATCCATGTGACCAGATTCTTTAGTGGTCACCCTGGGTGCCTCAGAAGCAGGACTTACCCCACTATATTAATTTGCTAGCCACTTACTACACCACTGCTATTGTTTGAAGTATTTTTTTGATTTATTGAAGTTAGTATATTGCACATTACTATTTAGCCAATTAAATTCTAATATATTATAGGTTAAGACTAGCATTTTTGAATAGCTAGTAAATTAATATAGTAGATTAAGCCCTGCTCAGAAGTCTTTTCATTAAGGGTTGTCCATTGTTCGATCATTGTTGTAAAGTCACACTGCAAAGATTAAGGATACTCTCAAGTATCTAAATCAATAAGTCTGAGTTCAATTTTTAATTAGTGAAAAATAAATTATTTAGTTAAGTGAGTTCATTATCACGATAAAAAAAAAGATGATCAAAGACCATCTTTTTTTATAATAGAGTTGTACTAATTGGCTTAAATTTAATATTCATGTTTTACAATGTAAATTTTTGACAAAATTACTATAAGGTTTATTTCAATTAATCATAGTACTTGTGATAGTGCTTTATTGTTTTATATTCGTCATATGCATTTCAGACAGACAAGCTAGAAATTAAATTTTTTTTTTTAAGTGAATTAGATCTTACTAGTAATTTCACTACAATTTTGAATAAACAATTTCTTTTATTATAATTGAAGTACTTAGAATATTGCAGTACATAATTTTGAATCTCAGTGTTTTAGGTATTGAATAAAACAAATTAATAAATTTAACTCTTCAAATATTTGCAAAGTATAAATTAAAAGAATATTTTAATTGTATAAGCTATGAGTCTAATAAATATATTAAAAATTTTGCAAGATTAGTCTTTAT